TCCTGCTCCTGGAAACAAAAGAGGCAGGTGTTTCCATAATAGCAACAAGTGAAAGAACCGGCAAGAAGTTTTACAAATCACTGATGGAACTAGAGAGCCCTCATGGGCTGGAGCAAGCATCAGATACTAATGCACAGGGTTAATTTGGATTAAAGTGGAGCAATGTATGTCTCAGATCACATTGTCAAGAACAATAAAATCAGCTATGACGGTGCTCATGACAAGATGTGCTCACAAAGGCTAACCAGTACATTAACAAGTAGATGAGAGAGAAACGGCACAAGAAAGCCCCACTAGAGCTGCTGACTGAGGGAGGGTTCAGGCTGGCTGCCCGCCCACCCATGCTGAATGGCTGCACCTGGGATGACCAACAGCGGGTAAATGGGTAAATGGGCCCCAGTGAAATAGTCCAGCAAAATCTTAGGAAACAAAAGCTCCAGGGGAGGAGGGTGAAAATCCCACGTTGCTATGCTGTAATCTGAAATGTCCACTTTGTAACAAAAATGTATAAGGCACACAAGGAAAGTGTCACCCGAGTGGGAAGTGGCCAGGGGGACAACAGAAGGACCTTTATGAGGGTTTAGATCATGTTGTCAAACGTACTTGGTCTACCACTTGCTTTTCAGGAAAAAATTACTCTGCACCCCCTGCAATTAAAAACGTTAGTACTCTAGCCTGTAATCCAGGTAAAGGGTACTAAAACTAAGCTCGCTGCCATCGAGTCAGTGCTGACTCAGTAACCAACCAGTGCACCACCATGCTATCTGCTTTTGCAGCTCCACCACCCTCCAGGGAGCAGGACTGTCCACTTTGGGAAACACTGGTCAAGGTTGAGTTAAGGAGCCCTGGTGGCATAATGGTTAGATGCTGGGCGACCAACCTAAAAGCTCAGCCGTTTAAATCCATTGGCCAGAATCAACAATAGCACGCAGTAACAAATGTTGAATTTAACAAATGAAGACTTCAACCCCCAAACCAAATTCATTGGCATCAAATCCATTCTGACACAGAGCAGACCTGCCTCTCAGTATTCCCAGAATAATATAAATTCTGTAAATCTACAGAAGCAGAGTACTAGAGCTTTCCCTCAGGTAACAGCTGATGGGTTCCAAGCAGCAACCTTTAGGTTGGTTGCTGTGGGCCTTAACCACTACATCCCCAGGGGCTCTTCCAGACTTCGAAGCAGCTATTCAAAAAGACAAACCATACTTAAAGGCGCTGTTCACTGCGTGAAACCTTAAACTTACCTGCTGCAGGGTCTATACTTGCTGCTTAATATCCAAGGGCTACACTGGGCTCCCACCTGCTACAACGTGAATTCCCTGGACCCTCGACCACCGCTTTTCCTTTCCTCCCTCCGTGCATGCCTTCCACCCCAGTGGCTTTAAAATCTTCCAACTCCTCATGCCCCTCTGCCTACACCACCTACCCTAGCTGATTCCCTGCCCCTACCACCAGCACAACAGCCACCAGCACCGGAGGAGGCGAAGCCTGGGCCTGCCATCCTGTACAGGGCAGCGGTCTCGTAACTGCCCCTCTGTAAGATCCCTGCAGATGGTGAAAGAGACTCGTGCTGGGCACTGAGACCCCTACCCCTTCTGCCTCAAGCCCCAGGTGACTTCATGACCTGGAGAGCACGTGAGAGAAAAGACTTGTGTTAAGCAAAGTACCTCCACCTCATCCCTTTCTACAGTCGGGTTTCAGAACTCTATTACAACCTTAGGGGAACCATGCACGGATATGCAGTTGTTGCCCAAAAGGACATTAAGGGATGCATAGCATACCTGTATTTCATCAACCAGAGTGTTAGTAAAGAAATGGAAATGATCTATTTAAGGAACTCTGATGAAAACTTTAGAATTGAAAAAAATAACAGTGAATAACCAGAATTCAGGAGAGGAGCTCAACAATAGAAGGGAACTGGTGGCAGGAAAAGAAGTCAATGAACTTGGAGACTGGTCAATAAATATGCAATCTGAAGAACTAGAAATAGACTTTCAAAGAAGTGTACTAATAGTACTACTAACTATCTGATGAGAATGCCAGATCCCGAGCAAAGAGTAAGGGAGCAGAAAAAAATAGAAGAAAAAATGACCTCAAGATTTGATTAAAAACAATCTAGACATCTAGGAAGATTAGAAAGTTTCAAGTATGATCAAAATATCGACTAAAATATATCAATAAAAATTTCTACAGACAAATTCTGATGGCAGCAATAGAAAAGCAACTACTCATGTACAAGAAAATCTGTTGGGCTGCTAAACACAAGGTCATCAGTTCAAGCCCACCAGCCACAGCAAGGGAGACAGACAGAGGAGGCTGGCTGCTCCCATAAAGATTTGTAGTCTTACCCCAGTTTAGAAAACAGAATTGTTCTTCATGTGGATGACTGTGCTGAAAGCATGGGGACAGTCAAGACAATGATTGTAGATGTATGAACTGGGTGGCCTTGGGCTATGACTTGGGCTGTTTTCTACAGTTAAGCATAGTGGGAACATCACTTTCAATGAGATCGTCGGCATTGCCCGTGAGATGCAGCACCGATCTTTGGCCAGAGGACTTTCTGGAACTGTTAAAGAGACCCTGGGGACTGCCCAGTCTGTGGGCTTCAGTGTTGATGGGCGCCACCCTCGGTATCCCAGATGACATCAACAGTGGTGCAGTGGAATGCCCAGCAAGTTAAGAACTACAAAAGAAAACAAGAAAGGATCATTTAATAACCAAAACAAGAAAATAATTTGTAGTCTTAGAAACCCCAAAGGGCAGTTTTACTTTGACCTAGAGGTTTGCTATGAGGCAAAATTGACTTGGCGGCAGTGGGTTTATCAGAAATTGAAGGCACCCTTTTGGTGCTGCGGATTGGGCATCGGACTGCGAACCACAAGGTCTGTTCAAACCTGTCAGCCACTCCAAGAGAGATGAGGCTGTTTGTTCCTAGAAAGATTTATAGTCTCAGAAACCCTATGTAGTATTACTATCAGTTGGAATTGACTTGATAGTAGTGGGCTCTTACGTTTGTCAAACTGGAGGCCTGAAGGCAATAAAGTGATCAAGTGCTAAAAGAAAATGAACGCTATTGCCTAAAATCCATCTTTTGAAACTGTTTCAGAAATTAAAAGCCAGGCTCAGATTTTTTTTTTTAAAAGCAGAGCAGAGATGTAATAAGCAAATCACACTTCAGTCACAAAGCAGGTCATCTCATGATTTGAGGAAGCTGACCGTGTTTAGGGGTATGACATTGAATTTTATAGGGATCCAGTGGCAGGACCCTATTGGCTCACCTCAATCCTTATCCTGCTTTTCCATTGGCCCTTATTCTTACAGCCTGATTGATTCTTAATCCAGCCTCATGGTTGCTTTTGTAATCCTTGGCTTGCATACCTCATG